GATTCGTCTGAAAGAAGAAAGTCATATACACCTAGGATGCATCGGGGGTGAGTAAAACACAGCCTAATTTTCATTTTTGGCTGAACTAACCCTTTAAGACGTTTTTTAACTTCACACAAGCACGAGTCCTCTATCCATAATATTGCTTCCTCCAGTGAAAAAAATCACCTCCTTTGAATCAGGAGAGAAATATGCACAGATCAAGTACCGTTTACAAGTGAAAACAGTTATAAACAGATATCTCGGTGGAATTTTATGTGAGAGAACAAAAGGGATGGACTTTTTCACCGCATGGAGGAAGTGTTATTATAGATTGTGGACTCGTTTCTTACAAACACGAAGCTTTTCACTTCACAAGACATTAATTGATGGACTGGAGTCATGTGGATTACTTGTGGATTATTGTGATGTTTTTATCAGCTGTTTGAACTCTCATTCTGACGGCACCCATTCACTGCAGAGGATTCACTGGTGAGCAAGTGACGCAATGCTAAATTTCTCCAAATCTGTTCTGATGAACAAACAAACTCATCTGCATCTTGGATGGCCTGAGGGTGAGTACATGTTCAGCAAATTTTCATTTAAAAAAAAAATTTATTTTAGATTTGTTTGGTTAAGTGTTGACATCTAATTTCACTGTTGTTCTTGCCAGCTGGAAGGACCCAAATAATGACTTTAAGAAGAATCTGAAGCTGACTGGAGTACCCACACTACTGCGCTATGGAACGGTAAAGATCAGTAAATGTTCTTTGATTAGTGGATTTAACACTTTAAATCAGAATTTTTTTGTTGTTGAAATTTTTACATTTAAATTTTAAATGTTCCTGTGGCTCAGTGGTAGAGCATTGCGTTAGCAGCGCAAAAGGTTGTGGGTTCAATTCCCAGGGAACACACATACTGGTAAAAAATGTATAGCCTGAATGCACTGTAAGTCGCTTTTAAGCGTCTGCTAAATGCATAAATTATTATTATTAATTATTATTACATTTGTATGCATATTGCAAATGTACTTCAAACATGAATCCACAGTGTAATCTAGATATAAATGTAAATGCATATAATATGTATTGTCTGTTTTAAGCCCCAGAAGCTGGTTGAAGAGGAGTGTTTTAAAGTAGACCTGGTTCGAATGTTGTTCACAGAGGATTAATGTCCTGTCACATACTGCTTGATGACAACAGCATTTCAAACAGTTTCTTTGAATGAATGACACGGTTTTTCTGCTAATTCATTTTGTCATTTGTAATCTGTGCTTCTGCTCGGCAATGTTCAGCAAAACAAATTGTGGTCTGGAATTATTCTGTGGTGATTGTACAAGTCTGGAAAGCATTTGTGCAAATTAAACTGTGTATACAAAGAAGATTTCATTTGTAACATCACCAGACATTTCAAGTTTACTATCTAGTGATTTTCAAAAAAGGGACTGACTATACTTTCAAACAACTTTAAGGGATAGTTCACCCCAAAAATGAAAATCTTCATCATTTACTCACCCTTGAGTGGTTCCAAACCTGTATGAATTTCTTTCAGCTGTTGGAACACAAAAGAATATATTTTGAAGAATGTTGGTAAACAGCTGACGGTAGCCATTGACTTCCATAAAATACTTCTTTTGTATTCAGCAGAAGAAAGAAACTCATACAGGTTTGGAACAAGTGGAGGGTGAGTAAATGATGACACAATATGCATTTTGAATGAACCTAAGACTGAAGAACTGAATCAATTCATACAGTAAACATACATAATGAAAATTGATATGATTATGGCTGTTGCCATTTTGATTGTTTATATTCAGAATAAAAAAATAAAATGTTTTGAAAAATCTATCTGCAAGTGTTATTTTAATTTTTCAAGGAGTTTTGCGTGTGTAACTTTTTGTGCTGTCCAAGTAAATATGATAGGAAATTATTGTGCACTAAGCAGTTGTACATTTTTGTTTTTATTCCTAACTTCAGCAAGCTTATCAGTTTTTTGCTAAGTAAATGGATGTTTATCATACAGAATCTGGTTTCAATTTTCCTGTACACCTTTATTCTGCTTAAAGTAGTGCAGAAACAACCGTTCTGTTGTTTTTCTTTTGCTTTTAGCGGTAATTGAAATGTACATGGGATGCATGAGGTAATCACTGTAACTCTGTGACACCACTTTCTGCTTAAATGAAAGTAGTGAATACCCAAAAAACATGACATGTACTGATACTCTGAGAATGTGTCTATATATTATCTATACAAAAGAGAAAAAAATAGGTATCTTTTTATGCAGAGATAGAAACATGGTGTGATTGTGATTTGCTTGACACCCTGCGAGTATGCCGAGGTGCAATTGCACCATGTGGCCACTAGATGTCGTGAAAGTCTCGCAGCGGGAGTCGGCGCTGTCGCGCTGAGGGCCGCTCTACAACTGGAGCGCATTCCTTAACACCGCTTACGGTGGAGACACACGACGAACCCGCGCGGCGATTCCGGGACTGCCAAACTGGGCACTAGGGCTTGTGGGTATCCATCGAGCACTTTGGGTTAACCTTAAAATCGCCCGAATAAGCAGACAAAACCAAAAACCAGTCCGTTTCGAGAGCTCAGCAGCGATGACGGAGTTTCTGGTGAATCTGCTCGGAGAGCGGCTCGTCAACGGGGAGAAAGCCGAGGTGGATGTTCACGCGCTGGGCAGTAAGCTGTCTCTGCTCGGGCTCTACTTCGGCTGCAGTTTAAACGGTCCCTGCAAGCAGTTCAACGCGAGTCTGTGCGAGTTTTATAGCAAGTTTAAAAAATCCTCGGAGCACAAGGACAAATTGGAAATCGTCTTCATCTCATCGGATCAGGACCAGAAACAGTGGCAGGACTTCTTGCAGGAGATGCAATGGCCGGCGTTGCCTTTTAAAGACCGACACAAAAAGGTAAGATCAGCCTCTAGATTTAATAGATGACATAAGACTGGAAATGTATTGTTATATAATTGTCTTTATTTTTTAAACGACAAACAGACAAAAAGTGTGTGCAGGTGTAAAGGATAAAAAATTAGTCTGATCTACTGTTTTAAACCCTTTGACCTCTTATTGTCAGATGATAAATGATCAGTTTAGAACTAGAACTAGCAGAACTAGCTTTTTTTAGTAGTATAAAACTGTAGTCTTGCTCTCAAAACTGAGTTTTTTTTTTTAAGGTAGCAAGACATTTCCAGCGTCCACCTAATGCATTTTTATTCCTCAGCCTTATCAGTCTAGATCTGAATCTAAACTTTTTATCCAGTCGTTCTTGTAGCAAAAGAGCCTTTTGGATTTTATGGATGGAAAGTGTAAAAAAAGCCTGGAATATTTTCATTATAAGATACACAAAGAAAAGCAGCCACACTTGAATTTTATAATTTGACTCCCAGCTAACAGTATATGAATTACCTGAAATCCCAGAAAATAATAAAGCATTCGTTGGAGGCAGGTGTCTTTTTTTATTATAGCTGGAGGCTGTATGCTGCTGGGTGCTGTAAAGGTGAAAACACATCCTTTACAAACCACAATATACACATACCAACCCTAAAGCATTACACAATGATTGTCTTAATGACTGCCAACCTAAACACATTTATTTTTCTCGTTTGCACTTGCCTATACAGTCAAAAATGCAGGCCAGTTAGGTTGCTCACTACTAGTTTTTAAGGCATATCCAGTGTGACAAAAAAAAAAAAAGCGTTGTTCAACCCTAATTACAAAAATTAGTCATCATTATTTACAGATTTAGACTGTAAGCTGTTACAGAAATTTATAGAAATAATTAGTTGTTAAATGCATCTTTACAGGGTGAATAAAATATATTTTTTTGTAATTGTTAAAAGCAAATGCTCAGGTTGTACAATAACACATAAATCGTTATGATTTATTACTCTCGTCTTATTATCCTTTTTAAAATAAGGGTGTAGAAGTGAGTTTAAATGTTTTTGCTAAGGCCTAAACGAACCTGTTTCTAAAGCATTTCATTATTGCAAGCACATTTGCTGGGCAGATTTTTAACAGGCCCGTTTAATGTCATTTATTAAAACAAATCTGGAAATTATTACTGCATTTCAGAGCACTTTTAATTGAGTTATCCTCTTGCTTTTTCAAATGAGATCCTGTGGTTGTGAATATTTTAGCTCTGGTATACCACTGATGAGAAATAACGTTTATTAAATTTGGATTACTGCCAGAAACGTTAATTAATTTGATCATAATTGTCATTCTAAACACAAACTTGGCTTTGCATAAATTGCTTTGTAAATAATGTTGTGTGTTACTATGGAGGTTTACCCTGTATGTTTACTGCTGCATCGTTAGGTTGATATTTTAGTGCAGGTTTTTAATCTTGGGTTTGAGGGTTTGTTTTAATGGATAATATAATTTGGATCATGCTCAGATTTGCCCCTGTGTGCTTGTATCCATTTTGGTCCACTGCACCAGCTCCTCCTCCTCCTGCATGCCTTGGCAGTCTCACTGACGAGCAAATGATGTGCGTTTAATGGCTCATACCGGTTTACAGTGGTATCGGTGGCAGCCATATAAATATTTAAGATAAAATCTTTCACCATGCAAAATGCTGATTGTACTTCATGCAGTTTTTTAATAATACACACTGAGAAATGCTGTGTGTGGTGAGAAGAGAATAATGTAGTTGTGTGTGTGTGTGTGTTTTAAGGAAGGATAATTCAACTTAGATTGGTGTTTGTGGCGTTGTGTAAGAGTTGCAGATTTATTTAGATGTTCAGTGGAAAATGCATCTAGTAGTTTACTATTTAGATGCCATTATTTGTTGTAGACCAAGGCCTATGTTTTTTTTATACATGCTGACATTGTGTTGTGCAAACTTTGCAGGAGGGTATTTTCATAAGCTTTGAATCTTGTGTTTTGGCATGTCTGCTGTTTTATTGAATGTTTTGCCTTGTATTTTAAGCTTACAAATATGCCTTGTTGTGAGCTGACATGGATGTAAAAATATCTTTACATCCAATTATTTACATAATATATTTCTACATCTCTGTTCCAACACAATTATGATCTCATGATGCCACTATTTTATTTATTTTTTATTTTTTACACTCTCCTTTCAAATTTTAGTTTCTTTTTGTTTTTGGGTCCTTTACGTTAGATGTACCTTTATGTTAGCTTGTGTTTTTCTACATTTGTAAGTCTGTATAAAAGCTTCTAATCAAGGAATCAGTATTTTGTAAAAAAAAAAAAAAAAGAATGCTGATTCCCTGACATTTTTCAAGCGACAGCTGAAAACTCACCTCTTTTGTCACTATCTGACTTCATCCTAAAAAAAAAAAAAAAAAAAAAAATTCTTTGTATGGAAAAATTATAATAATTATTAATAATTAATAAATATTAAAAGAATAATCATTATTGTGTATATAAAATATTTACACAGAATAATAATATAATGATGTCGATAATAATAATTATAACAATAATTATATATAAACACAAACATATATATATATATATA